GAAAAGTTTCCCGAGTGCGGCCTCAACAAACAGTCTCCCATTGACATACAGCGGCGCAAAGTGCGTTACAATCAGCGACTGCTACAGCTCGAGCTGAAGGGCTATGAGGACATGCACGGCAGCTTTCGCATGAAGAACAATGGACATTCTGGTATGGATCCTTATATTAGAACCATTTCAAATAAATGGACAATTCTTTATTATTATCATTATTTTTTAATTAATATAGACCACCTGCTATTGTTATGTGGCTCTTTTATCTATATAGCCTACGTTGATCTTTGTCGCCCCCTTTTGTAATACATGCTTCCCGTCTTATTACTTCAGTCTGTGTAACTTAATCTTTACAGGGTAGATTAGCTGTCCATGAATGTAGCCCACTATCTTGTTTGTTTTTGACAGTGGAAATTCAGCTGCCACAGACTATGATGATTACCAAGGGGTTTCCAGACCGCTACACTGCTGTCCAGATGCATCTGCACTGGGGAGGCTGGGACATGGAAGCCAGTGGATCAGAGCACACAGTGGATGGCATCCGCTACATGGCAGAAGTATTTACATAATTAATTTTAGCCCAACAAATGAATGCATAAAAACATTTAGAGACATCCTAGATGTAAATAAAGCAATGCTGTTAAGTAGGGCTGAGGGCTTATCCATTCAAGTGATGCTGGACATGTGCCTGAAATCTTACTACAGTATGTCAGGTTCTATTTTAGACAAATATGTAGTTATCATTGTTCTATTATAAATTGTATTGTTTCATAAATAATATTCCTGCATTTAAGTTCCTCAAGAGTGTTGCGAAACTTTAATTTGGCAATACGGAAGGACTTGTTCAACCCAATATGTTTTGAACTTCACATTACTCAATTTGAAGTGTAATTTCTAGCATCTTCCTGTTTGACTTCTTGTGTAACAGCTGCATGTGGTTCACTACAACTCTGATAAGTACAGCAGCTTCCACGAGGCCAAAGATAAACAAGACGGTCTTGCAGTTTTAGCCTTTTTTTATGAGGTAAGACTGGCTGTAACCATCTTTTTCATCCTCTTTGAAATTAGAATATTCTTTTTATTTTTTATGATTCTTTTTATTTATTTTATTTTGGTGCAGTGCTGCCATCTAATGGGATTAAGGCCAAGCAAATTATCCTCAAAGAAAAACAATGAAAATGAAAAATTCAAATGACTGTCTATGTGAATCCTCTTGAAAAAAGCTGGGCTGCACCAAATGACCCCACATTGCCTGAAGCACATAGCATGAGTAAAGATAGACATCTGTATTCTCTGAACTAAATGGGTTAATTGATCAGACCACTGTGTGGTGGCCTACTGCCTGATATTCTGTTCCCACAAGACTGTGTGCAGGTCACAAGCTCCCAATACCATTTTATGGGGGAGGTCATTGTTTTAGTAACACACCCATAGGCATTCTAATCTGCTGCGATATGTAGTGCAGTGGCAAATGTCTTTCTCTGCAATTGCTTGGCTAATAGTGTGTTCACGAAACCACTGCATAATGGTTTATCTGAAAATGTTTACACTTGAGTGGCTTGATCAACTTCACATTGACCTAGTTAGTAATAGCTAGCAACACCATGCCACTACCTCCTTCAGTTTCAACTCACTGTTAAAAAAAATTATACAATATAAAACTTATATATAATATTGTATATGTTTTGAAAAGTATATTTATATATATAATGTTTTTACATCTTAAGACTTTTTTAATACATTTTATATTATATTTATCTTTTATGTAATAATAAAAATATAATGTTTATAGTAAAATATAATGTTTGCCTTGTAGCGGTATACAGTATTTGATATATGGATACTTTGTGTTTAGGATGGGCATTTTGAGAACACGTACTACAGTGATTTCATTGCAAACCTGGTAAACATCAAATATGCAGGTAATCCAAAATAGTTTGGATGACCATCGCAAAAATATTTCATTCTATGCAGCCTTTTTTCTCTCTTTTTTTCTCTCTTTGCAGGTCAGGCCATGAATATCACTAACTTGAACGTACGCTCCATGCTTCCAGAGAACCTCAATCACTTTTTCAGATATCAGGGCTCTCTCACCACACCGCCGTGCCATGAGAGCATTCTGTGGACAGTATTTGATTCGCCCATCACCCTCTCTCACACTCAGGTGCCTCCAAAAGTTCTCATGAAAAAGTTTTCAATCTTTTTTTTGCTTTTCCTTTAACTTTTAATGTGGTGACCTTCAGATCAGGAAATTGGAGAGCACATTAATGGACCATGAAAATAAGACCCTGTGGAATGACTACCGCATGGCCCAGCCTCTGAATGACAGAGTGGTGGAGTCCTCTTTCCTCCCACGCCTGGGCAAAGGAGGTTAGGGCAGAGCTTCATCCTTTCCAGCAGCTATGAAAAATGCTCTTTGTTAGGCCTGCAGTGCCTGAGCATATTCTCCCTCTCTCCTCTTTGGTTTCTTGCAGGAATTTGCCGTCAGGAAGCGATTGAAGCTAAGCTTAAAAGGATTGAGAGCCTTATTGTGTCACTGGACAAAAAAACGGTTCCAGGTATAACTTTTGATGAGAAATGTCAAGATTACAGGGAAATCTCAAAGGGGTAGTAAACCCAAAAATAAAAATTCTTCATGTCTTTAAAAAACATGTATGACTTTCTTCTGTGAAACAGAAAAGGAGTTATTTGTAACAGAATGTACATGCTGCTTTTTCCATACAATGAAAGGGAATGGTGGCCAAAGCTGTCAAGCTAAATTTTCAATGAATAGAGACTTAAATAGTGACTGTTCCTCATTCAAACTACCGTATGGCTACAGAAACATTTGAAAATTTTAGTAATTTTGCTTATTTTATTTTGTTATTTTTCTGTTTATTTTTTCTTATTTTAATTTCAGTCATTTTAGTATTTATTTCAATTAGTTGAAAAGGCAATTTTATTTTATTATTTTATCTTATTTAAATTAATGACATTTTTATTTTTTAAATGTAATAATTTTAGTTGTATTTATCAAAAACAACACTGGTCAAAAGCTTTGGAAAATACTGTAAACATTTAAAATGTTTGTATGGTGTTTCATCCTTTTTGGAGCTGGACACAATCGGTTCACCATGCACTTTCATTATATGAAAAAGTAGCTCAGACATGCATTCAACTTGTTTCATGAAAAAATGTCAAACACGAGGGTGAGTAAATAACAGAATTTTTATTTTTGGGCGGACTATCCCTTTAAATGTGATGTATCATTCTCGGTATACATTGTTAATCTGTCTCTGAATTAAAATAAGCTTTGACATTGATATTTGGTCTTTTCAAGGACCATTGTTTACAAGTACAGGTGATTATTTTTTTGCAGTAGGTCCAACTGTAGTTTTAGAACCGTAGACATTCAAACATACCATGACAACTAATGTAAACAAGTGAGATTCTATTTATCGATTTATGTCAACTTTCCTTCTCAAGGCCTGCAACATATATCGCCACTGGTCCTCTACTTCCCAAAAAAGAATTTGGAGAGTTATGCCTTGGTAGTCTTATCCCACCCCATGAACCTCCAGTCCTTTACAGCCTGCATGAACGTCCGTATACCGGCCTTACAAGACCTCACCGTGCTTTCTTACTCCACATCACATGACAACGAGCTCATGATCACTTTGGGCTCTGAAGTGGGTCTCTGGATCGGAGATGAGTTTGTGAATTTACCATTTGAACGTCAATCCCACGACTGGACAAACTACTGCTTTACCTGGGCATCACACACAGGAGGGGCTGAACTGTGGGTGAATGGACTGGTCGGGGTAGAGCAGTACATTCGGGCAGGATACACCATTCCAGCTGGAGGAACTCTCATTTTGGGGAAGGACCAGGATGGGTTTTTAGGGATCTCAATCAGTGATGCGTTTGCAGGGCACATGACCGATGTAAATGTGTGGGATTATGTGCTGACTGCAGCAGAGATTAGGCAGCAAATGTTGTGTGATAATGGCAAGGTGAAAGGGAATATCCTGAGCTGGGGAATCACTCCGCTCAGTCTGTATGGAGGAGTTCAGCTGCAGGCTGAGCAGGTTTGCCACTGAGAGAGAAAGAGATTGCCACAGGCTAAGAACTTTTTTAAACGAATGACAATATCAGCAATATTGGCTCTGCTAAATTGAACTGTATACTCACCCAGGGAATAACTGCAGTTGAGAAAGATATATTCTATTCAATCTGTATTTTAAATAAAAGCATTTCAATGTATTTTTACCCAATTGAATAATGTGAATCATATCTGAAGAATTTTAATAAACAATATTTGCATTCTTAACCTTCTTAAATCTGTTAATTTATTATACAGTATGTACAAACTGCATATAAAATGCAGTTTGTACATACTGTATAATACCTTGAATATTTATGAAGGGCATGTTTCTAGTTTCTGAAGAAAAAAATATCACAATGACAAAAAAAAAAAAAAACATTTTAAAGTAATAAAATCTTTAATTATTACTTAGAAAAGGAATTAAGCTGTGAAGCACCTTCATTAAAATACATAAATATTCGAAAAATGTTTGTCCAAATCAACGTCATATGATGCCACAAACATATAGAAACATGCAAAAAACATAAAATTATATTATATTATATAAAGGACCCCCGCAGACCCTTAAGCTCAAGAAGTCTCTTAAAAGATAATTTGACCTTTATGACATGGCATTATTGTAAAAATATGCAATAAAAGTTATTATAAAGAATTATAAATGCTAAAGAAAATTTGTACACAATACTTCTTACCCTAAAAATATTTAAAAACATTTTTAGTTAGAAGGAAAATATATTACTTTGCACTCGATGATTAGATCAGTTGTCATTAAATTAAATCTTTTGTTGAACTTTGTATAAAAGTTTTTCAAAACCATATGAAAATAATATGAATACAAGAACTTGGGACATGCATTTTAAACCTGATTTTTAAAATATATGTTTTTCCTTTCTTGGACATTCTTGTATATCAATACCCCAAATACAGATGACAATGAAAAAGGCACAATATTTTGATGTTATAATACATGACCTGTTCTTGCTTCCAAAACAGACGCTGAAAAATAAAGTGCATTAAAACAGTTCAAAGCATTGCAGACAAACACAAGAACATGTCCTGTGTAAACGACCCCTTATCTATTCAGAAAAATGTGTTTTTAATTTCCTGTTCGCTGCTTTCCCCTCCAGTCTCTTTGATCTCAGAGTCCCCAGCCTCCACCACAATATCCACCTTGTTTCTATGAGCAAAAAGCTTGCTGGTCTCCAGGAAGGTCTTGTTTTTGGTCTCTGGGATGACCACCCAGATGTAGATAAGTGTGGCAAGACAGATGCAGGCAAAAATGATGAAGCTGTAAGCACCCAGGCCTCTCTGTAGACACAAATGAGCCCTTGAGCAAACTCAAGTCCTCTTTAACATTTTGCTTTGATGATTCAGTGAGTTTCATAACTGTAAAAGGATTTGCACTGATTCCATTAATTACTCACTTAGCTTGTTTCTTCATCGGAACAGATTTGGAGAAATGTAGCATTACATCACTCAGATGCTCTGCAGTGAATGGGTGCCACAGAATGCGAGTGCAAACAGCTGTAGAAAACATCACAATAAATCCACAAGTCGTGTGGAGTCATATGGATTGCTTGTGGATTATGGTTTTTATCAGCTGTTTGAAATCTTTCTAACGCGCACCCATTTACAGCAGAGGATCCACTGAGCAAGTGATGTAATGCTAAATGTCTCCAAATCTGTATCTGAAGAAGAAAAACTCATTCACATCTTGGATCACCTGAGGGTGAGTACATTTCCAGCATATTTTCATTTTTGGGTGAACTATTTCTTTAATAACTTAAAAGTATCAATTGCAATACTGTGACTCTTTGTTAGTGTTGCATTTGACCTCTGACCTCTAGAAAGGGGAAGACCAGGCCGACTGTGAAGTTTGAGAGCCAGTGAACTGTGCCAGCCACCATGAACGCTGGTGGTCTAGAAGACTGCCGGAACATCTCTGTGGTGATTACATTAGGAATAGGACCTGCAGAGGGATGCAGAAAAAGCGGTCAAATCTGGCTATTCTATCATCAAACACATCATCTTTTTATAGGCAGTGAGAAAAGAGACTGCTTGAAACACTGTGCTGCTTTTACAATCTGTTTTACTGCCACTTTAAAGCACTTCTCTTGCATTCACTCCAGGGTTTTAATGTAAAATCCCAGAAAATGCAGCATAAATCTATTGTCATTCCCCACCAAGGAATACAACAAATGAAAGGGAGGGAGTGAATTCATTGAGATGCAGCAAACTCCCTGTGCATCTGCAATATGCCCCTATGGGATTGGCGTGAACTCACTTGGGCCAATAGCATGTCCAATGACGTAAGTAATGACACAGACGATGCTGACATAGGGTATCCAGTCCAGTGAAGTCTGTGGGTGGAAAGTGCTGCATTTATTATACCATTTATAGCCTTGCATTTCACATAGACCCAAGAGGCAAATTCATCAGGCCAGCACATAAAATGAAAATCTCTGCTGGGACTGATATTTTACAATGCCTATAACACCTGTCTGTCTGTAAACAAGAATTTACTACAACCAAAATGGGCCACATAAGGAAACCCCCTTATTTAGTTAAAGTGAATCTGATAAGTCATAATAATCAGCTCTAATCTGAATAGGGTTCACAAATCTGGATGAGTGAGCGAGATAGATATATACACACACACACACACACATCAGCTGTTAATTATTATGTTTAACCAATAAATTACTTACATTCAAATATTACTATGACATTACTTAAAAATATTTCAATATTAAAATACTTTGTCTAAATATACTATCAGTTTGTTTAAATACTGTATATGAAAAAAATAAAACGCAAATATTTGAATTCTTTGCACTTGTTACAATACAGATAAACCATTAATAATTACGTTAAGGTCAATAACCAATAAATGACCTATATTGAAATATTACTATGACATCATTTAAACAATAATATTTTAATTTTAATCAATATAAATATCTATCAGTCTTAATATACTATCAGCTTCTCTTAGAGAAATAAATAATTTTTAACACTACAAGTGAATTTAGGCATCACAACATTAGAAATGTACAGTATAAATATGGAAATTCACTATGAAATTTGCTAAAGATTACATTTAACTGTATTATTATATAATTAATGCTTTCACATAAATTGACATTAAGATGGCAAAGATCATGTAAAATCAGGGCAAATAAACAATAGAATGTATATCAGTCTGTGTATATCTAATAATTCTAAACACCTGTAATATTTCCAGATTTTATTCGTTCATCTCTAGTAGTGTATTTAAATGAATACAGTGTTGTTATACCTGGAAGTAGAGTGCTATGGTCAGGAGAACACAGGCTCCACAGCAGACACCAAAGCCGATCAGTAGCAACAACTTTCTACCAGATTTCTCCACTATGAACACCTACACAAACAGAAAATCATATTCTTTACACATTTCTTTGTGAAGTAAATGAGCTCCTCATAAGGGGTATCAAACTATGAAGTTAAAAAAAAACAACAACAACGACAATAAGTGGCTTACGGCTGCTATTGTCATGAAGACATTAACTGCTCCTGTTCCAACCGTCACATACTGAACGTGATCGTCAGCCACTCCTGCTGAGCTATAGATGCTGTCAGCATAGTAATAAATCTGAAGATTGGGTTAAAATTAAGATTCAGTTGAGCAAGACATTTCAAATTTATAACACCACACTTACGCTTTCAGAATTTTTTTTTTTTTTTAAATAATCTGTGTGAGTTTTAAAGTGGTGCTTACGGCATTGACTCCTGACAGTTGTTGGCCCATGTTCATGAAGATTACTGACAGCAGCTGCCAGCGCAGTGAGCGGAAGGTGAAGAGGTTGAGCACAGAGAGTCGACCTTCTGCTTGCTCTGACTGTTCCTCCACACGCATCTCGCACAGCTCCTCATCTACATCCTCCCAGCCACGCAGCCTCTGCAGTCCTAAAACACAACACATCAGACTCTTCATTTAAGCAATATCTCCCAGGGTGATATTCAGATCAACAGCATGATTACGAGTGTGATATAGCCCTTAATACAAAAGTTCAATGAGCAAGACGTTAATATTGAGTAACTTACATTTTGGTTGCTTCGTAACGGACATGAAAAGCCTAAATTAAATCTGTTCATTATACAAAGTAATTGTAACTCTTCACAAGACTTGGATTAGACTATTCGATTCATATGGATTTGTTTTATGACATCTTTATAACCTTTTTTGGATATTTTAAGTTTTGATTACTACCTCAGGTTTCATTAAAAATCTTAATTTGGGTTTTGAAGATTAACCAAAGTCTTATGGGTTTGGAATGACATGAGGGTGAAATGATGACTGAATATTCTTTTGGGTGAATTATTCTTTTAATGAAAAAATGTAAACTACTCAATTACGCAATCATAAAGCCAGTAAATAGTTTCGCTTCTGAACGAATGAGTATTTTGAATAAATCCATTCAATGAATGTTAATGATTCAATGACTCTTTCATAAAGACAGTCACTTGTTTCGTTACTAAATAAATCAGTTTTGAATATACCAGCTAAATGAATGTGAACGATTTAATGTCACGGTCATAAAGCCAGTCACTTGTTTCATTTCTGATTAAATCAGTGTTTTGAACGAATCTGAATGATTCAATGATGCTCACATAAAGACAGTCACTTGATTTGTTCCTAAATGAATCAGTGTTTTCAAATGAATCAGTTGAATACATTTGAAGGACACTCATTAAGCCAGTTAATGGGTTCATTCCTAAATGAATCAGTCTTTTTAAACAAATCTGTTGTATGATTCAGTGTCATATTCATAAAGACTTATGACAAAGACACTTGTCGCCAGCTACTGGAGTAATGATATAACCTGCAGTCACTAATACACAGACTGACAGAACTAAAATGTCAATCTATACAGCATATTCTTTCCATATTAAAAGACTAAAACTGACGTTGACGTAGCCATTAAAAACAATACTAATAACAAAAATGATTTAAACGTGTCCCATGTTCGTCATTCACATTATATGTATTTTTACTCAGAAAAAAAAAGATAAAAAAAAACGATTAAGAAAATAACTATTTTGCAGTGTACACAAGAACTTGAGGTGCTTACAAGGATCCAACAAGGTCCTCTCTTCAATAAATGACAGAAAGTGTCCAATATGTTGTAAATTAATTACATAAGTCCAATTGATAAAGCCAGCCCTACTCCATCATAAAACCCCTGCAATCTTGATGAGTTCATCGTTGGTGAACATCCAACTGTAAACCTCACATTTTCTTTATGTGCTCTGACATGGAAGACTAAAATAACTCCTTCTGTACCTTTCCTGGCAGTTTTTTCATCCCCCTTCTGTATGAGCATGTAGCGTGGGCTCTCAGGGAAGAAAGGCAGTAGCAGCAGCTCAATGGCAGCTGGAATCCCTGTGAGACCCAGCATGATGGGCCAGCCTAGAGAGAGAACATTACACATCACCACGAGCAGCAGGGGCATGTTTCTCCAACTGCACTTGCAAATTCCTCTACAATAGCACAGCAATACTAGAGCATCTCATGATTAAACCTTTGCGTTATAGTCTAGAAAAAAAGCAACAAAAATTCCATGGACTGTGCATTACCTTCCATATTTCCCAGGATATTGCGAACACCGAACACTTGGGCAACAACGATGCCAATGGTGATGAAAAGCTGCGGCACAATTCCGATGGCCCCCCTGTAATTCTTGGGTGCGATTTCTCCTAAATACATGGACACCACATTGGAGGACAAGCCTGGAAAACACAGTCACATACTGTCATGCTTAAACATATAGCTGATCCATACTGACAGGTGGAATATTCTACTGACCTGCACAGATGCCCACTAAAAAGCGTGCAGCAATGATGATTTCAAATGACCCTGCCACTTCACTCACACCCATCATTATAGCAGGTACAATAGAGAAGATGTTGTTGAACAGGAGTGTGCCTTTTCTATAAGAAAAAGACCTTGGTTAGGGTGAATGATAATTGGGATTCAATGCAATGCATTGAAAAAAAACCAAAAAAAAAAACAGTTTTTACAACCCAATACAGTTCAAAGAAAATTACCTCCCGAATTTGTTCACCAATGGGGCTACCATGAGAGATCCAAAAAACCCACCCAGTGGGAACATGGACACAGTTACGGACCACAGGAGGGTCAGGAGATTGTCTGACATTGGACCATAACGATCCTCATATATCCGGGTGTAGAACAGCTTCATCTCCTTTTATCAGAATATCAGAGATGAAATAATATAATTGTCACGGTGTGTGGAGGCAGGCAGGATGACGAGGACGACAAGGATATTTAATGTAGAGACAACAAGGCAGATTCGGGTAGATGAGACACACACACACAGGTTTGTTTTTATGGTTTATGGGGACTCTCCATAGGCGTAATGGTTTTTATACTGTACAAACCGTATTTTCTATTGCCCTACACCAACCCTACCTCTAAACCTACCTCTCACAGGAAACTTTCTGCATTTTTAGATTTTCAAAAAAACTCATTCTGAATTATTTATAAGCCTTTTGAATTACGGGGACACTGAAAATGTCCTCATAAAGCACCTTTTCGTTGTAATATCTATGTCATACCCATGTTATTATACAAATCTGTGTCCTCATAAACATGCACACACACACACACACGGGGTAACATTCACAATAACCGACAATACTAGAATACAAGAGACAGGAACTTATAGGGCAGATAACGAGGGGCAGACAGGTGAGCACACGGAGGATAATTAACTAATGATTGAACGGGCTAAACCAACAAAAGGAGAAGAAACCACAATAAACAGTCCACAGGGGCGTTAAATTACTCCCCCCTCCCGGAAGGTGCGTCCTCGCACCGTAGAAACAGAGGGAGGGGCGGAGGGGGACTAGGAAGAGGAAGAGGGAAAAAGCAGTGGATGTGAGATGGTGACAGGGGAAGGCAAAGGGCTGGCAGGCAGACCAGACTGGTGGAGGTTCCGGTGGAGGACGGACTTCCAGGAGGAAGACGGCTAACAGAGTCCAGGGAGGTGCCGATGGAGGGAGGAGCCAGGGAGACGACAGGAAGGAACCGGAGCAGGAGGAGGAGCCAGGTGGGACCCTGGCCACAGCCATATTAGCGGCCCACGGTGGAGCCGACAGAGGGAGGAGCCATGGAGGAGGAATGTCCACCGACTCCAGAGGGCCGACCAACGGCGGCGGAGCAGGTGGAGGAGGAGCCCGAGCCAGAGACGGAGAGCCAACGAGCCAGGGGGATGCAGAGGATCCGGGGGGCCAGGGTGGAGCCGAGGGCTTTGGTGACCGAGGCAGAGATCCAGAGATCCGCAGTGGAGCCAGCTTCAGATGGCTTCGGAGGCTGGAGGCGGAGGTGAGGGAGACTCTGACCATGGTGACGCTGGAGGAGGCCGGAGCTGGTGGGAGGGTGGGCATTTTTGAGGAGCGGGCACTGGAGAGAGCTCTTCGGCTGGAGCCCTTCCTGGGTTTAACGAGGGATCAGGAGCCCTTCCTGGGCTGACGGTTTATGCTCCGTACCGCGGGGAGATGGTGGGCTGGGCTCAGGGCCCTGAGTGGGGCTGGTGTTGTTGTCCACGATGTCCACGGTCAGCTGGGACTTGCAGGACACCAGCACCCACTCGATGATGGTGGCGAGGCTCTCTCGAGGACCATCCCCAGACAACTGCTCTTGTGTGGTGGCGTTTAGTCCAACTTGGTAGAAGGTACAGAGGCAGTTGTCCGGGTAGTGCGTGAGGTGGGCCAGGGACAGAAAGTCGTCTGTGTGGTCCTCAAGAGAGCGTTCCCCCTGCTCCAGCAGGAAAATTTGGAAGGCGGGGTAATCCATTATAAAAATAAAAACTGACAAAAACAAATGAGGGGAAAGACGCCACTATACTTTACATTTTGGGTTGGTTATTCGGTCCCGGTGTGTGGAGGCAGGCAGGATGACGACAAGGATATTTAATGTAGAGCACACACACACACACACAGGGCAGATAACGAGGGGCAGACAGGTGAGCACACTGAGGATAATTAACTAATGATTGAACGGGCTAAACCAACAAAAGGGGAGGAAACCACAATAAACAGTCCACAGGGGCGTTACAATAATATAATATAATATAATATAATATACAAAATAATATATATAAAGTCAGTACCGTGGCAGGTGAGTTGATCACAGCCACATTGTATCCATACTGAAATGACGAACCAAATCCGGCGATCAGAGAAGCTGCAGCCAGGGTCAGCGTCACTCTCTGTAAAATTGCATTAATTTTAGAAATATGTAAATGCAAATAAAATTATATATTAAAAATTTATTTTTAGTCATATGGAAGCAGCTGCAGTATATTTGAAAGGACACACAAGTATTGCTTGTTGATTGTTGTCTATCTGTTACCAAACCAAAAAGCAAAGAACAAAATAAGTGTAAAACAATTTTGAGGCAGAAATATGTTTGTCAAAAGTACTTACCCCCTTCCTCTCACTTCCTCTCACTTCCATGTCCATCTCTTCCTTCATGCTTTAAATCTACAGTACAGTCAGAAAGAACATCAGCGAAAAGAAACGACAGCTCTTTCTTTATATGGTACTTTGGACATTGGAGCCGACCCTAAAAACCAAGATTAAAGTTGTTTGGAATTAAAGCAACTGATATAAACAGATAAAAGTAAGCTACCTACTTATCTGCACCTATAAAGAAAAGCACATGTCATTAATCATGTCATTTATTGGGCTTCAGTACTTCCAAGTGTTTCTTTTCTTTGCCTCAACATCTGGTTTCTGTGACATTTCTAGTCTATTTTTAGATCTCATATTGACTAACCCTTGTGTTTTTGATGTTCTGAGGTCTATATCTCGGTATATATGTGCATGCACACTATTATGGTTGTGCAAAGCCTCTCTCTAGAAATGGTTTGAGGACATCCTGCTGCAAACATTGAGCAGAGGAGAATGTACAGAGTAATGCAGGTCACAAATAAACTTTCTGTTCCTCATGTATATTCTGGGTTACTTCAGGGCTACAATAATTAAAAGGTAATGCTGGCAGGAATAAAGATTGGCAAACAATGCATTTAGTTTGTCTTACATGTAGTGTTATTAATTTTTTCATGAAGAATTCATAAAGACTAAAAAATAACATGTCTTTGGAGAACGTTTGCGCCCCTTATAGGTGAAAAGTGTTTATGCAAGTGTACATGACAAGCAGTTTTTGTCTCATCTTAAACATGTAACTCAAACTATTCGAATGAAACAAAAAATACAAATACATTAAATTAAAAATGAATTATTGGTGTTTTCAGGTATCTGAAAATAAATAAATAAAATACAAAATTATGGTTGTCCTCTAACACAGAGGTCCCCAACCACAGGGCCCTGGAAGAACTGCTACTGGGTCGCAAGAACGTTCTGGGAAAAGTGTGTATAGATATGACACTCTGTTATTTATTTATGTTAACGATTGTTCTAATTATTCTGTATTTTCGTTGTATGCGATTGATATGGAGTAGCAATTTGACGATTTCATGTTAAATAAGTAAATGAAATATATTTTCTGTCACATATTAGGGGTTAAACGGATCGCAGTTGATCCGTACATACGGTCGGATGAGACCCTACCGTTCGGCACGCACTTGATTCACAGATTAATTTGCCAATTTACACGTTCAAGCAATTTTAAACAACAAGAATAAGAAACGAAAGAGAGCTCAATTCGATACTCACACGTTGTTCTTGCACACAATCAAAGCGCGCACAAGCATAGACGAGTGTTTCAGACAGCGCCATATAATTGCGTATATGTACACATAAAATTAGCTTATGTCAAAAAACGCTTCACGACATTGTCATTGTGCTTTAAATATTTTTTTCTTGCTTATCCGAAAAAATAATCAGATCTGTGACTCAAAAAACAACAACACAATATAATGCGATATCCACCCCACTCCCCCCAAATACAGCCGGTCCGCAAGAAAATTTTCTGAACGTAACCGGTCCGTGGTGTAAAAAAGGTTGGAGACCCCTGCTCTAACAGACCTCCATACTTAGAACTTCACACACAACCTGCAAATTAGCATATTTTAATTAAGACCCTATTTATAATTAAGATAACTGCTGGTTTACACCTAAGTTATGAAAATAATAAATCCCTTGACTTATCAGAACAACTTCTGGAGTTTGTAATTGAATAATTACTCAATGTCATGTTCTAAAGGAAAAACATTGTAGTCAGAAATAAAAGGATTTCAGTAACACTCTGAAAAGGAATATTCATTTAGAATTGTCTCAGCCCCACTCCTGCCGAGTTAATGAAATAAGCAGAAAGATACACAAAAATACAAATGAAAAAATAAATAAATGCTGACTCTATGTGCTAAACAGATGTGGTATTTTCCCCTTTATCAGCATAACCAGGGTCCAATCCTAAACCAATGAAAGTCTGAAGAATCCAGAGCTCCAAATTTCCTTCCCAGCAAAGGTACAGACAATCATAACTTAAACTATTTCAGGGGACAATATCTTGTATGGCTATGCAATTAAACAATGTGCAATTCAGGAATATTTATTGTAAATGTCTATGTTGGTGGCAATATATCAAATAATAAATTGTAAACACAGTAGGCCAAATAGATTAAATAGACTATAACCACATCAAATGAAAGACTATGAAGATAGTATTGCCTTGCATACAGCGTGAAAAGTGAACCAATCGAGGATTTGAATATGGACCTCAGCCCACTAATTGGTGACCTCTGACCCAGACTGTTGATCTCCACTAAATATCAATAGATGCTAAGCTTAGCTTTGCTTGTCACAAAACTGACTGTATATGCACAGCATGGTGCATCACTAAATGTATTTATATCATTATTTTACATGAATACACAATTTAAATCAAATAAAACATGTGGCAGTTTTATTCTTGTGGTGTTTTGACAAATGCATCATTGTCAGATATGTTTGAGTCTCTAAACAGCACAAGATCTGAGAGAAACTTACTCTGGCACCAGCGTTGGGGAAGATACTTTAAAACGTCCAATCTACAAATGACTTAGAATTTAAAATAGCTACCCTTTAATTATTTCGTTTTCAAAAACGACATTAAAATATTTAATTGCTTCCCAACAAAAACGTCTCTGCACAAATATAATCTTTAATGAGGTTTATATAATCTAAAAACAGGTGATGGTGGTGATTTATTATTTTGTCCTGATACAATCTGACAGGTGCTGGGCGATCTTACATCTAGAAAAGCACATGCCTTTTGAAAAAAACACACCATCTTTTATTTCCAATAATTGTCCCATTAACTTTGGAACACGTTGTCCAAAGTACATGCCCAAGGCTTTGCTATGCTTAAGTGCTTTATTGTAACGTCTTTACCTGCTTTGTACAGAGTTGTTTAGTGTTGCCCTGAAAAATCTTCATCACTTGTAAGCGACATCGTAGCTTATATTCCACAAATGTTTTCAGTGGAATGTGAGGAAATAATATATATATAATACATAATATATACACAAGCAAGAGGCATGATCCAGGCATGATCCATGGGCTGCCAGCTTGATAACAGAACAGCTATTAAAAAAGTAAATAAACCTTGGAAATTAGGTATCAAATTAATTATTGACTGTTGACACCCATTGCATAGTTAAAATGTGATTCTGCAAAACAAAGGTCACATTACGCAGAATTAAAAAAAAAAATAATAATTTGTTTGTTAACAATTGCACCTCATTAACGTGACTTTTTCATATCATGGAACTACATTGTAAAAACACCATACAAATTACGAAATGATTATTTTAATTCTCAAAAGAGTAAAAGAGATCAGGTCTATTCCATAAAATGTATTTAATGAGATACAGAGCCACTTTTGAGAAAAAGCAGCATCCACAAACACTTTGATCAGCATCACACGGACAGCAGAGGTCTCTGTCTGACCAGTATCTGCTCCCTCCTGCAGTGCTGCACTGCAGATTCTCTCATTCCTATTCCTCCTTCAGCAACTCATTAATCACATTGATTGGACCTCATCAACTTAAACAGAGATCCTCAGCTGTTTATTTCAGCAGGTCGAGGGCTGAACACCCCACTAGGGATTGTGGTGAGGTGTGGGTCCTCACAGTCAGGTCTGTGCGGGTTTAAAAAAGCTCTCTCTTTAGGTTGTTATCCTCTGCAGTGATATGTCATTGCAGATACCCACAGAAGGGCTGTAACGCACCCAAGCGATGGACTCTGAAGTGAACGAAGGTTCAAGAAAAGGTAAGTATCATGTGCCTTACCAAAAAACAGCCATAAGTTAGAAAATATATTAATATTAAAAAAAATATATATAAAAAGGTATCTTTGAAAATAAGGGTCTACACGCTAAGCTTAGCTTTGCTTGTCACAAAACTGACTGTATATGCACAGCATGGTGCATCACTAAATGTATTTATATCATTATTTTACATGAATACACAATTTAAATCAAATAAAACATGTGGCAGTTTTATTCTTGTGGTGTTTTGACAAATGCATCATTGTCAGATATGTTTGAGTCTCTAAACAGCACAAGATCTGAGAGAAACTTACTCTGGCACCAGCGTTGGGGAAGATACTTTAAAACGTCCAATCTACAAATGACTTAGAATTTAAAATAGCTACCCTTTAATTATTTCGTTTTCAAAAACGACATTAAAATATTTAATTGCTTCCCAACAAAAACGTCTCTGCACAAATATAATCTTTAATGAGGTTTATATAATCTAAAAACAGGTGATGGTGGTGATTTATTATTTTGTCCTGATACAATCTGACAGGTGCTGGGCGATCTTACATCTAGAAAAGCACATGCCTTTTGAAAAAAACACACCATCTTTTATTTCCAATAATTGTCCCATTAACTTTGGAACACGTTGTCCAAAGTACATGCCCAAGGCTTTGCTATGCTTAAGTGCTTTATTGTAACGTCTTTACCTGCTTTGTACAGAGTTGTTTAGTGTTGCCCTGAAAAATCTTCATCACTTGTAAGCGACATCGTAGCTTATATTCCACAAATGTTTTCAGTGGAATGTGAGGAAATAATATATATATAATACATAATATATACACAAGCAAGAGGCATGATCCAGGCATGATCCATGGGCTGCCAGCTTGATAACAGAACAGCTATTAAAAAAGTAAATAAACCTTGGAAATTAGGTATCAAATTAATTATTGACTGTTGACACCCATTGCATAGTTAAAATGTGATTCTGCAAAACAAAGGTCACATTACGCAGAATTAAAAAAAAAAATAATAATTTGTTTGTTAACAATTGCACCTCATTAACGTGACTTTTTCATATCATGGAACTACATTGTAAAAACACCATACAAATTACGAAATGATTATTTTAATTCTCAAAAGAGTAAAAGAGATCAGGTCTATTCCATAAAATGTATTTAATGAGATACAGAGCCACTTTTGAGAAAAAGCAGCATCCACAAACACTTTGATCAGCATCACACGGACAGCAGAGGTCTCTGTCTGACCAGTATCTGCTCCCTCCTGCAGTGCTGCACTGCAGATTCTCTCATTCCTATTCCTCCTT